CAGGTACATTGACTTTATACAAAGGCAAAAAATCATCACCTTTATCAAAACTTGACCCAAAAGAAGCTAAGCTAACCACTATCTTCACTCTGATTTTTAGGCTGACTCCAGTAACACTTGTAGACAGAAAGAACAATTGTAACCAGTATTTTCCATGCTATGGAAGATAAGAGCTCCTTTTCAGAGTTCTGTTTTAAAGCCAGGGCTGTATATCTGCACCTTAGACATGATATAGGCTGTCATTTTTTAAAATAAGATGTGTGAGAACTCTCACAATACACATTATTCTACAGCATCTGTTGTGAAATGCTCAGAAGAGGGAAAGAAATGCCTAAATACATATTTCTACAGCTAAGAACTATCAAAATTCAAAATGCCTCTGGGGATGCTTCTCAAACGCTAAGACACAAAGTCAACTTGTATCTGGTACAATTTGAGAAATTCTGCAACACGCATCACTCTCTTTCCATTGTTCCAATTCCTCTCATGTGAGGTATTAGTGCTTCCTTTGAAACCTCTAAGTCAAGGGAACTCCTTGTCTTCAGGTGTAATTTCAATCCCAGCTCTGCTATCACTATAAAGCTAGGCAATGTGTCAGTCTCATTGAATAACAGGAGTATTCCAACAGTGCTGATGAGGTTTAAAATAGCCAACCAGTATAAAATGTGTAAGCTGCTGCCTATATAATTCACTGATACAAAAGTTAAGAACTGCAGGCAATCCAACATACTAATAACAGGGACTCATTTACATGAACTACTAGGATGAATAACAAGTATCTGAATTACTGCATTGCTGAATAAGCTTCATGAGAAATTTATGCAAAAGGGTAGCTGAACAGGAGCAGGAGATAGACACATGACTTTAATGGTCCCATGGAGATCAGCATTTGCAATCCCCTATCTGATTCTGAATCATGTTTGAATGCACATGGACACAGAACCATGAGGACTTTTAAGAATAAAATGTCCAAGTACAGTGTCACAGAAATATATCTGAGGAAGGAAAGGAAGAAGTAATGCATGTTTCATTTTAATTATGAGCTCAGAGATGTTAAACCAGCCTGTACAGAACCCTCCATGCTGCATTTACAAGTTCTGTAAGCAGGCAAAATACTCTCAATAAACCAACTAACTATACAAATTTTGTTAAAAAGAGAACATTCTAGGAGTGATCACAATAGAGAAAATGAATTCACAGGTCCTATTTAGGTGTTACTAGACACATAAATCATGTTTTCTTTCTCAGATGTTTTTAATAATATAATTAATGCCTAAAAGAGAAGACAATGGGCAATCCATTTTCTCTTTTCAGCTTCCTTTTTATTTGTAAGGCTGGAGATGTCAATTTAGCATCACTTGCACAATGTAATCAGTGCATTAAAAACAGGGGGAAAATTCAATCTTATATTCACCTGGGTTCTGGGTTTGGGTCAAACAGGAATTTCTTTCTAACAGAATGTTTGCATGAGAGAAAAAGAGAATTCACCACATTTAGGACTTTTCATGTTTTATGTAACTTTTAGCTACAATTCATTTAATTATGATGTAATTTCTGGATCTACAGAGGCTATGCCCAGAGCAGAAAAAAAAAATCTTATTTGTAATATGACTGCAAATTAGAATTAGAATTAGAATTAATTAGAATTAGAATGGGAAGTTTGTTCAATTCAATTCAAGGATCTTTCAAACTCTGATCAGAATTCACTGGCAAAATCTGTGCCCTAATATATATAAACATTTTTCTTTCTGTGGTGGTAGTAGTTTCTAACAACTTCTCTGTCAACACTATCTCAAAAATAAGTTTGGGTCTTCAAAACCAACAGGTTTGGGTCTGTCTGAATCTTTGAAGCAGGTGTTGATATAGGTATTAGAGAATGCACCACTCTATATAATATTTTTTAGCCTCCTCAGAAATGTGATTTATAGCTCTTATAATTGGTTATTAGCTGTATCTAACTGTCATAATTATATCTTTCTCTAAATTATAGTAAGAAAAAGCTTTCTCCAGGCCACAAATTGTTCTGGAATAGAAGGCAATGAGATGATATAGAAAGAAATCTGAATAAACTTAAAATAAGTGACATGAAATAAAAAGGATTTATAACTTCAAACATGAAACTAGATAATAGTATTTATAAACCTATAAATTTTAAAGCTCACAGACTAATTTAAAAACATTTTAGTGATACTGCCAGATGAGAAGTGCATAAACAGAAGGTTCCTTTGATTATCAGAGTGTTTTCTTCTGAAAATTAGACCACAGCCATTTATCAGAGAGTGTCTCAAGGCTATAATCAGTTAAATATATTCAAGAACTGAGGCAATTTAGTATGCTGAATGTCAATCAAAAAAGGCAAAACATGTAGCAATGTGTTAATGCAAATGTGAAATATGCATATGCTAAGGTGGCACAATGGAAGAATAAGCGAGAGTCACGTTCTTGATGTGTTACAGTACTTTGAATAGTCAGGGATGTGTGAATTCAGAGGATGTACCTTCAAGCTTTCAAAATGCAGCTCTCTGTGGACTGAATGGTAACTCAGAGCAAACGGCTGCTCTGTGATGAGAGAGATCAGATAACATCGCCCTTTAGGCACTAGCTGAAAGCGGTATGTAGAAGGAGGACATGACACTTCCACCAGGTCTTTCTGAATTTCACATCAACATTGGGAGAGACCTTGATATGGGAACTCTGTTTCATGGCAAACTCATCTTCTAAGAAAGTACTTCAAGTACTTCAATGACACTGAAAATAGGAAGAGTCACAATAATATGATTATAGTGGTATAGAGGCAAAACAAAAACAAGCTGACTTCTTAGTTCTCCACAAGGACAGACCTTGCCAAAATCAATCATCTGCATCCAAGAATCCTGTTATTTCTCACTAAGAAAAAAACTGTGTCTCTTCATAAACTAAAGGTTTCTCTTTCCCTGTAGATGATTTTCCAGATTTACTGATATTAATCCTAGGACAGCTGACTGATAATGCATTGTTCAATTCATAGGTATTGAAAAATTAGTACTACTAAGTCATGTGCTATGCTTTGGATCACAATTGCATTAACTGCCTTTTTGACTAGGCATGTAAAAAAGCATATTTGTTTTAAGAAAACCTTTTTTTAATACAAATTAATAAACTTGAGCCTTTTTGCTTGGTGTACTTGTATTTAGAAGATGGTATAACTGCAGGAATTTATGATGGACTCAAGGGGCTCTGAACAAAACTGAACCGAGGGCTATTAAATACTTGAAAATCTCTGCAAGTTAACTTATTTAAATGTACTTTCTTGGAAGTCTGATAAAGCTGCTGCTCATAAAAGATCACCTAACAGTTAAGGAAGATGTGCTAAAGGTGAAACTTTTACGTAACAATTAACAAGGCTGTTTCAAAATGCATGTTGAAAAGCAGGGTATCATTATAATTTTTTATTTCCTATGTCCAAACCTTTTATTTTTGGAAAGATCCATATTTATGATTTTCCATCAAATATTTGCTGTTCTTCAGGCCATGCAGAAAAAAAAAAAAAAAAGACATAAAGGTACATAAATATAAATTCAAGGTATAAATTGATCACTATGAGACAACAAGAAAAGCTTTTGCCAGTATGTGGCAACCAGAATTGGCTAAGTAAGCAGTAACAAATTCTTTGAAAGAGTTGGTCAATAATGAAAATAAAGGTAGTGTACTTGATAAACTGAGAATAACCTCACATCCTGACACATAATCCTAACTAAACAATCTCTCAATAAAATAGAATTTATTCATCCTTCAAGAACATATCTAAATTGGACTTTTTTACATAAGTTTTCCGTGCATCCTCTCAGGCCTGGATTACAATGAAATTAGAAATCACAAATTTTTGCTGAGTGAAATCCCAAAAGCAATTAAAAATATTGCATGGCTATTTGCTTTTTAACTCATCTTCTTCCTCTCATTTTGTCACAATATATAAGCACAGGGGCAAAAGAATTACTTGAAAAAAACATGAATTATTTTTGTCTTTTTTTTTTTTTAATTGTTGCAGTAAATTTTTCACATTCTTTGACATTTCTGCAGTTTATAATATTTGAACTGAAATTACCTGAAACTAAACAGCTTTCAGTAAATAAAAATTAAAGAAAATCAACTACCCAGTGAAAATCTGAAAATGCACATTAATAGAGTTAAATGTGTACATTTTCTCTTCTATATTTTACAAGAAGCATTAGTTTCATTGCTTCCATCCAAGTTCTTCCACCAAGACAATCACCGTATTGAGCTAGATATGCTTCACATACCACGGTGCCTTTGTCTCAGAGAATTTAGATTAGAAAGGCAAAGATTAGAAGAAAATATACATTATTGATTGTGGTAAGAATAAGATAAGAAAGATTGTTCACTAAATGGAATTAAATTTCAAGACATACAAAATTTCTATACCTGACACATGAACTGAAGGTAGAGTTCCTAATTTAGAACATCTAATTGAACATAAACCCTATCAACCCCAAACTGTAGCGACTGAAATGTAACACGTCATTTGGTTAGTCTTTGAACAGATTTGTCCTCAGTCACCAAAGCTGCTACTCACCTGTTACAGCTGTACTGCCAAAAGTCACTATGGGAAATAGTGCGAACTTTTCATAGTACTATTGCTCTGATTACTTTTATTTGGCTACAATCAAGGGCATTTGTGCATGAATAAACAGCTTTAGTTCTCCATAGTCATTGGCTATATTTTTATCAAATAATTCCATTAGATCATGTCTAGAGCAGAAGCAGTAGTATCTAGTATTTGTGACCTAATAAATAACAAATAACATTGTTTATGACATGACAAATACACAGACTTTATTTATTTACATGATTGCTAACTACAGCAAATAAAAAAGGCAGTAGTAAGTTCTATTTATAATTAGGTTCTGAAGATCATAGAGGGTTACATAACTTCCAAATTATTCAATGAAAATAGATCAACTTGTTATATCAGAACTTGATGTCTATTGAGTAATTCTTACCCCACAGGAGGATATTGTTTCAGTTCCAATACATTAGCAACATAAAACACAGCTTTACTTCAGAATTTTCTTTGGTGTACCTGTAAGAGATTACATAGTTTTGACATAGAACTTAGACACAGAATATACACTTGCTTATAGTACCTAAAGGACATGGATTCACATTCCTCCACAAGCTCTGATTTTGCCTTAAGTGCACATGGACAAGGGCTGTTTTTGGACTGACAAGAAGCAAAGATGTTAATGCAAATGATCCTCTGAAAGACTGTTACCTCTAAAAGAAATATGGAGCCAGTTTTTAGATTGTTTCACCATGATTATTGTTCTTATGCTGTCATGAGTAAATATAGAATCATCAAGCATAACTTTCAGCATTTTTTGCACTCATAAGGGCTAAAATGTGTTTGGCCTAGGTGGTATCCAAATAGAAAATGACACAAGAATATGTAATTGCTCTTTGAGGTAGTAACAGTTATCCACTAGTATAGAAGAGAGTCTATATTGAACATGCATTTGTGAAACACAGGAAATACACAGGAAAAAAACAGATTCAGAGACTAAATTTTAAGCATATTATCATTCAGAATCTACTGGGGTTATGTGTAAATACTGTTGGAGTCTTGACTTCTATTTTTCAGGTAAAATGCAGTTTGAATTATGACATTCAAGTTGCTCAACAAATTGCACCAGATTTTTCTAAAATAATTGCAACATAAATTCCTTCCTAATGAGGTATTTTATTCTATTCTGTAGCAGAAAATTTTTTCACACTTGTGATTTCTATGATGCAAGAAGTTACCCATCTGTAACAGCAGAACTTCATTGTCTGTCTGTTGAAATAGGTAACTGCAGGATCAGGACAATAGTTTGCAATGCCTTTGGGACATTAGGGGTTAAAAGGTGCTCTCATAAATAGAAGTCATTATTATTTACCCATAGTGAGCTGAGGTTTATGACCAGAATTGCAGGGAAGCTTCTGTATGTTTTACTTTTTCAAGATGTCTTAGTTGAAGTTCAGTAGGTTGAGGTACTTATCACGGAGCCATAGATTAACAAAAGAGTTGGGACATATCTGAGAATGTCGTTAAACTTCAGTTGCGGGAAGTGTCTTACAAAGTCTTTCTCAGAGATCAAAACAGGAAAAACACTTAGAAATACACAGTGTGAGCAAAGACTGATGGCCTCTAAGAAAGGTTCACCATCTGGTTTGGTTTCTTTGAAGACAAGACTACCATAGGAGACAAAAAATGGAATTCAATGGACATCACATGTTCAGATTTCCAGAAAGGATTTGACAAAAGTCCAGCTCATGTGTTGCTCTTTTTTGCTGCAAAGTGGCTCAAAAGCACATGGGCTAGCTGCCTGTTAGCGGTGTCTTACTGTTCAAAGCGCAGCGGAGAATGGAGGAGGAACGAGCTGAGCTCTGGGGGCATCTGGGCATACTAACTGCTGTGAAATGTCATGCATTGATGTTTCACAGAGTAACATCAATTGTATTTAACCCCATCTCTGCTGATTTCTAGTGCAGTGGCCAAATTTCCTTTTGGAGCACTGATTTTCTTCTAAAATTCTCATTTTGATCTGCAGGGTTTTTTGCCTTCCATGTCTTAAGCATTGTCAGCCATTGTCCCTAAGATCTACTATAAATGTTGGGTTTGCCATTATGGAATTTATGTACAGAAGGTGTTGCTTCACAACAATGTTTAGAGGTTTGTGCACATCAGCAAAATAACCAAAATAAGAAGTTACTGTCGAACTGGGAACTCATCCAAAATACAATGAAGTCAATGGGAAAGTTCCCATGGATTTTAATAGGTCATTAGAGTGATGTGACCTTCAAGCTTCTTCTGTCTTGTAGAAGGAATAGAGCTAAGTGTAGTCAGTTTTATAGATTAAAGGCTCAATCACTTCAAGGACATCACTTGTGTGTATTTAAGTCCTAGGTTCTGTAAGTAACAGACCAGATGTGTCAGTGACTTTCCCTTTGAAGGAATCCTAGCACCAATGCTCCAACTTGTTTTTCCTCCCAAGGCTTCAAAGAGGAAGAAGCAATACTTAACTGTCTCACAAAAACCAGTCCACACATACAACTCTTCCAGAGCCTGGTGCTTCCACAGCCACCAGTCTACTGAATATTAACTACTAACAGCAGTAGAATGCTGTGACCCATTAGGGATTAAATGGAAGTGTTGCATCTTGTTGTGAGCACCCCTACATGGTATCCTTACAGTACTGAATATAGGAGACCACTCATGCAAAAGGCTTTGGAGAAGGTGAACTTTGATCATTTTCATGACACCTTTTTGTGAGCTAGGATCTATAAACCTAGTTCTTTCAGCTTATTTAGATTTTCCCAACAAAAATTATATCAAATGCGTTCATTCAGTCTGTGACAAATTGGACTTCTATCACATCAATATATATATAGAAGAGCTCTGTGTATTTGGGCCTTATTTCTGGACATAAAATTCTTTCTGATGAGGCAGTTCCTTATCTTCTGTGAATATACTATTTCACTACAGTCATTATTATGGGATAATCAAATGAATAACTTCATAAAACCTTTTGTAAAGGATAATTTAAAAGATTCTTATTTAAAAACCAGAAAAGATTAAAATCTTTGTTCAGGGCTTAAAAGGTTTCTCAGAGCCTTGAAATCAATAATAATTTATATGAGTCAAGTGATATCAGCCATATTTGACTGAGAAAAAAGCCGTATGAGCAATTTAGATGAAATATGTTTTTTCTTGCTTTATATGCCCTCCTTTTCAACACTCACAGTCATTTTATTGCATTATCCATTCTTACCAAGGCAGTCCCCAGAAATATTTGTCATCGTGAAAAAATTTGTACACCTTTTAGAATTCATGTTCCAAGACACTGAAATAGCTCTAAAAGCTTTTGTGCCTTTTTCATTACTGGTAATAAAACTCCCCACAAACCATTATTAATGTGAACAAATAATACAATTTACAAAATAAAATTTGAAACATTTTTAAGAGTTCAGTACCTTCAGAGTTACCATGTTATTTCCATTTTTGTCCACAATGACAGGTCCAGAAGCACATCTTGATTCTAAGCGTGAAACCAGTAGTTCTCTTAAAATTCTTTTTTATGCGACTGAAGTTTACACCTATGTGACCTTTTTTATCTGTAACACCTCTTCTTTTTATCACAGTTTTGTGCAGTGGCCAACAAAGTGCGAGAAAGTATCGACTGGGATTGCAAACACTGGAGACTAAACAATTTTTTTTATTTTTAATATTAGCATAATTCTCATAATCATATGAAGATTTTGCATGGGAACAGAGAAGAGAAGAGACAAAAACATCTTGATGCTTTAGACTTTGTAAGCACCATGCCTTTGGTTTATTTTGAGTAACCTCTAACATATCCTGGCTCAGAGCACCAATTAGTGGAGATAGTTTTACCATTTGATCATTTGGACTTGAATTTTTTTAAATGACTGATGAAATGAACAGCACTGGAAAACTTGAATTAATAAAGTTTACTGCTTTTTTAAGTTGGGAATAATATTTCTTTCCAAGAATTATTGCAGTAAAACACCCATCCTATCATGAAAATCTTGTAATTAAAACATATAAAATGTGCAATATACAAGTGTGCACTTGGTATCTGAAATTCTGAACAAAATAACTTAAATAAAACACAGCTCATCACCAATTTTTCAAAGACATCAGGAATAGCTAAACAGGTTTTTAAATGTGCTTGCAGGTTGTGTCTTCACGATAGTCACTTCTACAAAACGCACACAAGACAGCAGGACAATGTTTGAGTGGGTCACTGGCTCTTAGCTTCTTTCTAGCACAGCTGAACTACTTTTAGTAACCAATGAGTTTAAGTGAGACAGTGCTGAGTCATAAGAAAATGTTTCCTTATATAATTAAAGGTGCTTTTTCAAAACTGAACTTTAATCTTCCTAAATATTCACAGAAATGTAGTTCCCCAATTTTTTTCTTTTTTACCTCAAATTCTTTCTTTTACCATTTACACAAAGATATGAAAGCCAAGACCATGAATTCTCTTTTTCTTTTTCTCTACTGACGGCAATGCTACAACAACAATGTCACGCATGTGAGGAAGCAACCACTTTATACTAGAATCCATTGCAGTGCTTTTCTTGCCTTGATAATACTTTTCCCACTTGCCATTACATGATTTTCTCTTAGCAGCTTTTTCAGCAACTAAAAAGCTACTTTTTCTTGCACTGCTCTGCTCCTCATTTTGTATCAAGCTGTGCCATATTTGAAATGTACTGCAGTATCTTAGGATGGCACTATATTTTTCACTCTTATTTTAACTCCAATATCGTAACTGATGGCAGAAGTGCTTCCATTTACAGCTTCATAGTCCTCTGAGACTTGGAGAGGTTTGTTACCTCCTTTTAGAGGTTCCTCTTTAGCAGACAAACCTCACACAGAGAGAAACACTTTAGAATCCAGCGGCAATTATTCAAGTGGCAAAGTAGTCACAAAATTTGTGCTTCTGTACACAAAAAGGTGTACATCCAAAAAGAGATTATGAAGATGAGGTACCACTTTGTTACAATTTAAGGGACAGATGTTCAGGAGCATCATCAGTAAACAGCAGATAACATGAAACTAATGTTAGAGCACAGAATTACCACTGATTAAATGGTGGTGCCCAGATCCTCAAAGCTATTTAGATGACATTTAAGTCTACCACAGACCGATTCTTTAATTTTTAGTTCAGCTTTACCTCTCAGATTATCAATTACCCAACAGCAAAATAATGAGACTAAATGAAATTTTTGTAAATCATGGGAAGATATGATGTGAGATAAACATAAGATAGATTGAGGAACCTCCCTTGTTTATCCTAAAGACAGTGTAGTGGCAAGGCACATCCTAAAAACTCCCTAAAGTCTGAAGTGCTCCAGCTAGATCATTTATGACCTCTTATATATTTCAACATGAATTTTTGAACTGTATGAGTCATCAGACATCCTGTCTTGTATTTGATTGTGCCAAATGATGAATTTTTGTCTGTGGATTTTTGCATATGGAGACAAATATTTAACTCAAGACAATTCCATTA